GTATTAAATAAATTATACTATTATAATGATAAACAATTAAATAATAAACAAATACATTCAAATTGATTTACTTTTTGGTACACGTTTATATATTCATTGGGTATTGTTGTTATGCCAGCCTGTCTTTAAGAATTGATTCACCTCATTGCAATTAATGTTGTCTAGGAACTTTTCTCCTCTTCAGTCCTTAGATATTTTGTTCCTCTTCTAATTATTTGCTACTTCCACCAAGATCTGTACTCAAGTCTGTTTCAATAGAAATTACTTCTCGACCTTTATCACTCACGTATTCTTGACACCATGCATTTCCTTACTCCTCGTGTGCCTCAGCCTCCACAAGGATACAGTATCACTCTCTCTCATTATAATACCTTCCTTTTTCAAGGCTCATCCATTCGGTAAATGAGTTGTTACACTTTTCTAAAAATTTACAATTTCAATGGCAAATTTCCTGTCAATATGAATAAATATTTTCAATGGTTCTCCTCATGCAAGACTTGGACACTTTATCTGTATGTTTGGTTCATCCCGCATCGCCAGTCCTGCTTACCAAACTAGGACAAATTGAAGTCCGCATATGCTCATTCCTAATAAATTAGTATATTTTTGAATCTCTCGACTATTCATAGTTTGTTAAATTGTTGAAAAATCAAACTGTCCATCATGTGTAATCATTGTCTTTACCAATCGTCACTACTTCCTCACTTCAACCTTCCCAAGGGAATATTCAGGTGTAACCATCTGCTAGATAGTTCGATTAGTCTTTCGCCCCATACTCATATATTGCATATAATTTGCACATTAACACGGCCAAATCCTTCCACCCAAGTTTTTTCGGCTTCAAACACCACAAGTATAGTCACCATCCCAACAGTTTAACTCTATCCTTTCCTAGGTGACTCCTGTTATATGTTTGGTCCTTCGTTTTCGCTTCATATCTGGGTTTTCTTCCCTTCCTATTCGCTCCGATGTTAACCCTCGTGGAGAAACTAAAAATGTTTCTATAAACCACGAGGGTTATATTTCAATTATTAATCTTTGTCAAATATTTTTTACAGATCATCTATTTATATTGTGTTTTTTCGTTGTATTCTTGGTTTGTTTCATTTATATTTATAAAATGGATTTTTTTCAATGTAAAATAAAATAAATATTTTGATCAAAAAAAACAAATAAAATGTTGTCTGGATTGTTTATCAAAATAAAAACGGAAAACATATTTTTTTTCTAAAACACAAAGTTAATTAATAATACTCGAAACAAAGATTGTTTTTAACACTGGATAAAAAACTTGGTTTTTAATATACAAAACTTATTTAAGTCTTAATTCAACAAACTATTTATTATGGTAATGTAACTATTGTTATTAATTCATTTTCTCTTTAAAAATTAATCAAAACATGACTGTTTTATCAATAAAAATATTTATTTATTTACAACAAAACTGTGTTATTTTTTAATTTAAAACACTCTATTTAAAAGGGACAACTTAATTGTATCAAATGCCATCACAAATTAAAAATACTTTAAAAAGCCCGTTTGTTGGTATTTTTATGTTTAAATTAAATACAAAAAAATGCAAAAAGAATTATCAATTGACAATGAAAACAAACCCGTTTTAGAATTTGGAATTTATATTTAGTCAAATAAAGCATCAAAAAATTTAATTAATAATTAATTAAAATAAATTTTAATAAAACCATCTTATTGTCTTCCTATTTAACTAAAAACAACAACATCATTTTATAAATTAATCTTTTTTAAGCATCTTTTCAACTTAATAAACTGGTAAAAGGTTATATTTTTTAAGTAAATAATATATAATTTCCGTGCTATTTGTTCATTTGTGGTAAAAGATAATTATTTTTATCTTGTTATTACAAAAATACTTTTGTAAATTTATCGACTTTAAAAATTGTAGATTTATTTCCAAAATAAATATTTTTGACCCAAATATGTTTTTTTATTGTTAATATACAACAAAAAACTCATTTCTGAACTACAATTAAATTTATGTTTTTATCAAATTACAAGATATATATTACATATTATATTATAATCCAAAATAATACATAATAATATTTTATTATGTATATTATACATAATAATATAATATAAACTGTATGCCAAAAGTCGGTACTTTACCAATTAGTAGTGGAAACCCTTTTATAATAAATTCCCGTTTTTTAAAGTTTTTTTGTTGTTTTCATTTATAATTTCCATTTGAAAAAAAGAAAAAACAGTACCGACTTTTTAACCCTCAAAACCAATACAGTTATAAATTTCAATTAAAATTTCGGGATTTTAACAAAAAATTAGAACAAACTTGTCCGATTTTCTGAGACTGTTATTCAGTCTTTTTCACTGTTGAGATTCTCAAAAAATCGGCATTTTTGCCTTTTGGTAATGGACGAGTAGTTTGAATGGGTGAGATAACCGTATTTTACCTCTCACATTACGACTCTCCCCCACTTCAAAATACACAATAAATCGTTCTAACTTGTTGTTATTTTATGGTTGTCTCTTTAAAAAAAACAAACTTTGAAACACTACACATATTAAATGGTTATTTTTATTTTCAATAATCTTTTCTTTGTGTTGTAAGTGTTAATGAAATTGAAAGATTTTTATTATTTGTTGGATCATTAACATTTTCTTTTGAAAAGAGAAAAAGTCGGTTTTACTCACGGCAAAAACAACCATATGGTCAAGCAAAATTTTTGAAGAAGTAAGTTATTTGATAT